GACACGTACATTTTCTCCCAATTTTAAGTCAAATTTTTTTCAATCTCAGGGCATTGGCAATTAATGTCCGATTCATATTTCTGAATATAATATCAAAACTAGCCAATATTATCTACTGAAAATCATTACAAAAAATGAAAGAAAAATGGGACAGTTTCTAAGGAAACATGGCTATAACATTAGTCATAGGCAACACGCATTAACTGGTTACTGTGCAGAGGGCACTCAGGTTGGCCTGCACTGTCTTTTTCATGATTTAAATATATATATTTCCTAATGTGGCTTTAATGTCACACAAATGGCTTTTAAGTGTAAAGCAAGAGAAAACTGGTAGCCAAGGAAAGCCTGCCAGGCCTGTTTTCCGAGCTCATGGAAGGCCCCACCGGCCCATCCAAGCCCTGACCAGCGGGTTTAGCAGCAGCTGTGACAACGGCCCCGTGTCCCTCAGGGACAGCGAGGGCGTAGGCCCTGCACTCTCAGAAGCCTGGTTTCCTATGGGGCCGTGGGCTCCTCTGGGCCCCTGGCTCACTACACCAGTGAAAACTCCCTTAATCCGTAGTCCTTTAACTCTGACTAGGGAAGGGTGGCTCCCCTGGCAGGCAGGCTGGGGGCAGAATCAGCCTGCCTTTGCTGCAGGGCTCCGGGAGATGAGGTGCTGTCTTATCTTCATTTCACAACCACTCTTATGAGAGGTACTATCAGTCTCATTCCCATTTCACAGATGGGAAAACTGGCTCAGAGGGGGGATGTGACTTGCCTAAGGCTGCACAGCAGGTAGTGAAGCCAAGCCTAAAATCAGACTCTGAATCCAGAACCCATGCTCTTAACCACTTTAATTCTGCCCATGACAAATGTACGGACCAGTCAAATGATTACTTCCTCATATTGCCAGAATTCCCATTACCTGTTAAATGGACACAAATATTTTTAAATGCCTTATTTTCAAAACCAAAGGATCTCATAACAAACTCATTATGTGCTGAAGAACCCTACCTGTTGACGTCCCTGAACAAGTGTCTCTTGTTCCTATTTCTTTTTTTGATTTTATTTTTCCTCTGTGGCAGGAGCTGATGTTTCCTCAAAAGGCAACCACCTTTGTTTCTTGTTTGATTCTTCAACGCTACATCACTAAGAAAATGCAGACATTATTTTATTTGGGAAAGGAAATGATGAAGTGAGGAAGAATAAAAGAAAACACAAGGTGCACAGACCTAGAACTGTCTTACAACCACACTGGAATTAGTTTAACACCAGCGACAGTTAATTCATTACAGGATGATTTGTGCTGATGGCTCTGATGATGTAATTAACTCAGAAATGCTACACAGTGTCATTCTCTGAACTTAGCCCTTCTACAGCAATCTTTCTGAAACTCTGTCTTCCTTGAAGGTCACCACCGTGAACTAAGGGATTTACTTTCAAAAAGACTGCTAACAAGAGAAGGATCAATATGAGCCAGTTTAAATTCTGATTTTTCCCCAGGGGTTTGATTTAGGCTCTTCTGTTGGGAAGCACTCTCGGGAACCAAGTCACCAGCAGCAAACGCATCAAGTCAAAGAGCCACAGGGACAGAGGGTGACAATGCATTTAGCAGGGAGTACTAGTTCTTTTTCCATAAATAAAAGGAAAAGTAGGACAATGTGTCTAGTACCTTGGCTCGAAGGATATAATTGTCTTGACTGAGTTGGAATAGTTCCTTCTCCTGCTGTCTCTGTAGTTCCTCTATCTTATCTTCCAAAGCTCTTGCTCTTTTTCTGAGAATGTGACTGTAATCCACTGCCCGAGGGCCTGTGCCCCTCTGCATTTTCCCTCTGCTTCCTGAACTCTTTCAAACATAGTCAGTTTTGCTTCCTTGTTCCCACCACGGCAGCCTGAAGAATCCTTTTAAGGAAAAGCATTACTTTGGTATGTTGAGTTATATATTAGATTTGAACACAGTGGGTTAGGGAAAAAAAACACAAATGAAAATGACACGGTTAACAATGTTCTAGTATACAAGAAAATCAATAAATGTTCAGTAAGAGTGAGTGAGTGCAGTATCACTCAGTGCAGAAGAAATTTCATTATTTATAATTTAATTTTAACGTATAATTATAGACCATACAACCATTATGAATATTACTGTGAAATTCAACACCTACATTCAGAAACTGAACACAGGCATCAGTTTCTGAGGGGCCCTCAGACTTCTCGGGGAGCCACGCAGCTTTCCCCGTGGGAGGCTGGAGTTGCTGGCTTGGTGAGTCCTGCTCCAGATATTCCTAAATGTCATGAACAATGGATAAAAGCACCGAAAATACAAACTACATTGAATGTGTATTTGGCAATTATGTAACAAGAATCACTAATACAACGGGAGCACTAAGACAAGTGAGGATCTCACAGCAGGCAGGTGTGTAACAAGTGCCCTCACACAGCTGTCCCCCTGCACGCAGGACCCTGCATGTGGGACCCCTGCCCGGAACCGGCTTCTACTCCATTTGACGCGGAGGCCAACTGACCCAAGGCTCATGTCCAATGACACATGGAGCTAAATAAATGTGAGGAGAATGTGGATCAGGATAATTTCAGGTTTTGTTACTTTTAAATAAATTACTCTTTTAAATGTTCACAGAAATAACTAAAAATATCTAAAAGAGGAATCAAAGAGCAGCTGATAACTTTATGAAGAATTTTAGTTCAGATTAAGTGGGCTTTAAAGGACATTTTTCTATATAAAGTATATCAAGGTATAGTATCACTGGAATAATATAAATTGCATGGAAACTATAACAACAAGTTTAAGTTTGATTAAAGAAATAAATGATAGTCCTGCTCTAATACTGTGATATCATTCATCACATTAGAAAAAATGTTATTATGTATATTTTTGTCAAATTTTTGGCTTTTAAGGTACCTCATAAATCCCCAAACAGCAGAAATAGTTCTAAGGCCAATAATTATTCAGTTAGTAATACAAAAAGAAAGTTTCAGGGAACTCCCTAGAAGAGATCTGGAGGCCCGTACTCAAACCCTGCAGGTCCTGAACTGACCCCCAGTGAACGTTTCCCTGACTGCCTTCGAGGTAAGTGAAGAATTAAAATTTTATACTTTTAATATAATTTCTTTAGGATGTTAACTTTTTAAACGCAAAGTTTACTTCTTTCATTAAAAGTGAAATAAGTGGTTCTTAAAGATTTGGAAACTACAGAAAAGTCAAAAGAAGAAACAAGTCCCCAAAAGTACCTCAACCCAAGATTTCCTTCAAATCTTTTCCAGGTTTTTTCCTTATAGAGTAGTAATCACATTTAATTGGGCAGTTTGATTTAGAAGGTTTTCTGTAGAAACCTCTTAAAGCATTCATAAAGGATCTGTTTCAGTCAATGTAAAATCAGGCCATTAATCCCTCCAAGTCACTGGAGGACCATTAACGTGGCCAGTGAAGGAGTCAGACCCGCCAGCACTGTGATTCTCCCCAGGACGGGGTGGCGGGAGTGTGGCAGGTGGTTCTTGCTCCAGCTGCAGTCGGCCAGTGCTTTCACACCAGAATTCTCCCTTCCTGAGTTCTTCATTTTGATTTCTCTAAGTTGTTATTTTTCAGTAATAGTACATGGACAGTATCTTTTCCTTTTATACAGGAAAGAAAAGTTGCTTAGATATGAAATTCAAATATGAAAACACTGCAGAATTTGGGACTTCTGAGCCCTTCTTAAAAAAAACAAGGGATTAAAAAAAATTCAGTCAAATTATAGGGCAATCAAAATAATTCCAGAATGGAGGAGCAATGGCTAATGTACTGGTGAAAAGCATTCTGGCTCTGTAATAACCAGAACCAAGATCCACTTTCAAACACTTAAGGGAATTACAGCTGCTGGAGAGAATATAATAAATATATTAATTATAAATAATATAATCATACATAAATATATATAATGATATATGACACATACATTATATATAGTATATAAAATAAAGTTATAAATAATATACTTATTAAAAAAGAACCAACAAAAATGGGTAGGAGTCATGCGAGTGGGGGATGTAAGAGTTTTACTACGTATTTAATAGAAGGAAAAATTGATCATGTATAAAATTGGAAAAAGCAGTTAAAAATAACAATACAGCTTTGGCAGTCTTTCAGGGGTTTTCATAATCTATGTTCTTGAAGGACCTTTTGGGATGTAACATTTCTCAGGATGAAGTTTCTTTTTCTTCTTACAGATTTAAGTAAAATGAAACCTAATGTTTTAATGAAAAGAACTGATAAAGTGTGATCTGTTCTTATAAAATGCTTCGTCCATTTTTATTTGTCCACGTGCCTGCCTGTCTCCTTCCTTCCAGCTCTCATCCCTGTTCCTTCCATCTGCAGAAGGACACACACATGAGAGGCATGGAATGAGGCTCACCCACTATGACACCAGCTGTTTCTGGCTAAATTATTGTTTCCTTTTTACTTTTCTGTATTTTTGAATTTAAATAATGAGCAACTATTCCTTTTGTGACAACAAACATACTAATCTAAAAATAAAAACACAAGAGTAGACAGTCAAAGAAAATTAATTTAGAATAAAAAGGAAAATCACCACATGGCAGACACTGCTAGCTGCCAACCTCCTCTTCCTCCCCACTAAAATTCTGCCCCGGGCAGCAATGTGCCAGTTAAACACACCCCTCTCCCTGGACTCCATGCACCCGGGGTGGGGTGGGGGGCAGGGGCACAGGATCAAAGTTCTGACCAGTAAGATGAAAGCAAAAATTTCCAACACCGGGCTTCCAGGACAGCGACTAGTTCTCTGATTAAGCTGCTGAGTTAATGGGTGTATACTTTTTAGCTTTCACCCTCTTCCTCCTGACAGGGCTGGAGGTTGTGCAGCCATCTTGTGACAAGGAAGACTGAAGTCACAGACTAGGGATTTTGCAGCAGGAAAGAAGTGGGGGGGGGGGTCTGGTTCCTTGCACACTTGCACCAGCTCTGAATTAACTGGCCCAGGCTTCCTGGTTATGTGAAAGAGAAGACTTTGAACTGCATCAGCGCCAGTCATGAGGGGCTGCTCCCTGGGAACCAGGGCTGATGCCAAGCACAGTCTCTAGACTTTCTGTACACGCGCTTTTGGCTCAGAGGCTGCTTCTCTGGCACCCAACCTGTGACAAGTAACAACCACCCCCAAGGAATTCCAATTCTTCGGAATAAAACTAAAATCACTCTGGGCAATTTTCCAACAAAAAGACAGATTTCTTTTTTTAAATCCTACTTAACAGAGACTCTAATGAGAAAAAGATCAGTACAAAAACAGAAAATCACAGTTTGCCATTGTAATCAAATAAATATGAATTTTAGTGATGTGTTTTTATTTATTTTGGCAGTAGCAAGCACTATGAAATTTTGAAATCAGGGAAAATGTTCATAAAAATATCGTTGCCTTCACCTATCAACCTCTATGCCATCCCCCTCATTTCCATCGACTGTGACCTGACGTCTGGCTTCACTCTTAGTAATTTCCAACTGCGCATCAGAGACCCTTCAACTCCCTCCCTGTGCACGTCTCTCCACTCCAGCTGCTCTCTCCCACTGGTTTTTCTGGGTCTTTTTCTGTTACCAGTAATGCAACTGCGCCTGAATCTCAGTCTTAGGCATTTACCCTCTGGCAGTCCTGCCCCCACCAGGCGTGCCCTCTGGCACCTAGATGCCCACAGCGCTTGGGCCCCCGGGACTCACTCTGTTGATCCTGTGTGTCTCATACTGTCCACACCCCCGATGTCTCTTCTTCCTTCACGACCCCGCTTACATCCCAGACACATGGGCAGCTCCTTCCTGCTCCTCTCTCAGTCCACTGCACTCATTGGGCAAAAACCACTTCTCTTGGTAAATCCAACTACACAACTATCAACACCCGCAGGCGTGTGGGAGAAAGTGGCTGTACACTCATATACACACACACACACACACACACACCCCTCCTGCCTGCCTGCTCCCAGCTCACATTCACGGTCACCAACCTGTTGCAGACTTCCTGCTGCTGGGAGCCCAGCCCTCCAGGAGATCCCCCCAACAACTGCTTCCCTCCAGCACCCTGGCACCATCCTCACTGCTGCCTCATCACAGCACTTTTTACTTCTCAGAGGAAGTGGAGGCAACCGGAGGAAATCACCCCCACCTCTCACCACTTCTGCCCCTACCAGTACCCACACCCACCTCTCCCCTCCTCCTTTCTGATTTTCCAGAGGTGAACTGTCCATGTTCCCACCTGAAGCCAACCCTCCCACTGGGCCCGGGACCCCATTACAACCCCTCCACTCGAGGACTCGGCTCTACGACTCCCCTCATCATGCACTTCTTCCTGGCTACTGCATCTTTCCAAAAAGCACAAACATTCTATTATTCATTCATACCATGATTTCTCTCATTAAATTCAAAACAAGGCAAATGAAAAGGCTTCCTGACTCCACCCTCCTGCCAGCTACTGCCCCCTCCCCCCAACCTTTTACACCCTTTCCTCCAGCAGGTCTATACCATTAAGTAGCCAATTCCACTTCTCCTGTTCCCACTCTGTTTGCCTTTCACAGCCACCTGCCCATGGAAACTGCTTGTCCAATGCCAACGGCCTCCTTCCTGCTAAACTCCAAGGTCAGCTGTCAGTCCTCATTCTCTCTCAGCAGCAGTGGACACAGCAGATCTACTCTTCTCTATATACTCTACCCACGTGGCTTCAGAAGTGCACGTGCTCAGGTTGCCTCAACCTTGCTCTGTCCTTGCAGGTTACCCCCTCCTCTTTAGGTCAGCAC